CAAATTCATCTCACCATTCTTAGAGGTGCGTGAGGGCAGCCGTCGCGTAAGTTCGTTTTATTGCTGGTACAAATGGTGTAAACCGTATAATCAATTTAATAATTTTTGGGGGGAGTTTTAAAATTAAGTTCGAATGCCAAAACATGCCCACCACCCCCCTACCACCCAAAACATGCCCACTGCCCCCCTACCGCTCAAAACAAGTTCACCGCCCCTCAGCATCCTCCCACCGCCCCCCGGGGGTCAGTACCGCCCCCGTTGAGAACCAATGGTCTAGACCTTGAGTCTTTACTGCCCTATCTATGAGCAATTGGTGTTTTGAGCCTCTGGTGTTGTTCCCAATGCCCTTCTAAGCTGTGCTCATGTACTGGCCCATAGGGTCCTGTAGATGGTGGCTATAATGCCTGATAGGACTTTCCATGTTATGGGGAGGCAGGTTATTGGCCAGTAGGGTTATTGGCCAGTAGTTGGATGATGCTATTCCCTTGTGGGGGTCTTTCATGCTCAGCACTGCCCTTCCTTGTGTTAGCCAGTCTGGGTGGGAGCCTAATGCTAGCACTTGGCTCATCTGTGCTGCTAGGCGTTCATGCACTGCTGTTAGTTTCTTTAGCCAGTAAGGTGCTGTCCAACTCTTCATGTTCTTGACCTACTGTTGGATGTCTGCTACTGTGATGGTGACTGGTTCCTGTTCTGGGAAACTGCTGCAGTCTGCTCTCAGGTCCTGCAGCCACTTTGCACTGGTGTCGTGTGTCTTTTCTTTCTCCCATATGTTCTTCCAGTACTGTTTAGTTTCTGCTGTTGGTGGCTCTGCTGTTACTGTGTTGTTGCACTGCAGTTGGAAGTACATTTTGGATGGTTCTTTGGAGAACAGGGCATTAATGCAGTTTGGGCCTTGTTTCCACTTGCACTTGACCACAGTTCAATCATGCCTTGACAAAAGTACTTTCTCCCTTGTTCCCACGATGCTGACCTTATCTTCCCTCCAGCTAATGAGGGACATAAGCTTCATCTGTCATTACTTTCACTAGTATAATAGTAGGATTTTCCTGCTTAATCCAACACCATCCAAAGACAGGTTTGATATGTGTAAAATATATCATCTTGAATGTTATACTTCATCTTGAAAGGTAAGTCGGGTGGCTAGTAGTACATATGAAAGGTGTGGTTTGGGAGTATTGGAAGGCATGGACATCTCACAGTCACCCCTTTGATCATGAACCAGCCTCTACCTCAGCCATTTCCTCCCCAGCTTTTGTCCTTTCCTTTATTTCCTGACTTCCTTTAATATCTCTCCAGGCTTTGAACAATATAGAAAAGAAGAGAACAGGCATCCACTGTTTCACTGGGGAAGGGGAAGGGGTGAATTTATGCTCATTTGCTACCTTCCCTGTATTGGTTGGTCTCAGCCACTCTTTCTTCCAAAATAAGGTAGATAATTT